AACAGCAATGGAAGAGAGGTTCTATATTTCGGAAGAATGGATTACTGGTGCCAAGAGGTGATTGGCTGTTGTTAGGTTTGGCCTGAGCTGTTAGGACATGGGGCTCACATATCAAGTGTCCAGGTTTTGTGACGTATCATAAATGGAAATGTGCCAAAGTTTGACAGGGATCATTGTTATATTTATATATGTGTATACAAATATGCACAACCATGTGTGTAACGAGTGGTCAATAAATAAAAGCCACTTGGTCAAGTCAAGAGAAACTTCTAAATCAGATAAAATTTAATATGCATGTTTTGCATATAAAAGCTTCATGTTGCAATAGAATTATGAAATCCAAGGTTATCGATAGTGGGTAGCGTCACGTAGCGGTGAGACATCGCTAATGCTATTTGCGCCTATAGCGGCAAATAGCTCATAGTTAAATAGTGGTTCAATTTAAATATATTTAAATATTTAAAAAATAAGAAAAATCAATTTAAGGACATGGCTTCGTCGAGGAGTTGGGAGTAGAGGCAGTTGGAGGATCTGGAGAGGAGAGGAGATGAAGATGGAGATGGAGATGGAGCTCGTCAAAGAGACTGTTGTTTGCTACAATATCGAGGAGAGGAGATGAAGCTCGTCGAGGAGTTGGAGGATCTGGAGAGGAGGTAGAGGAGTGGAGGGTGGCAGTAGAGCTGGAGCTCGTCCAACACGAAAGAGAGAGAGAGGCGGAGGTCTTGTTAAGGCTTTTGAGAAAGAGGCGGAGGCAGTCGGATACAGAAGAGAGAGAGAGAGAGCGGGTTTTACAAGTTGGGTCAGGTACGAGTTTTCTGGTCGGGTTTTTTATTAAAAAAATCAACCAAAAAAGCGCTAATAGTGTTCAAAAGCGCTTTTAACCGCTATTAACCACTTTTGAGAGCTATTTCGCTCTTTTCTCCGCTATTGCGGATGAATAGCGGCCTTCGGTGCTTTTTCTCATGCTATGGCCAAAATCATCACGCGCAAGGGCCGCTAATGCAATTGCGGCCACAATTGTCTGCTATTTACAACACTGATGAAATCCCTATCGGATGCAAAAAGACCTTAAATTTGAGGAGTCCATGTAAAGCTAATCATCTAGTTTCAATTGATGTTAGGTGGTGTGTCACGCCCCGTTTCCAAAAAAATGTATAAGTTGGAACGTGACTTGGCTGACGATGTAACCTTACAATCACATTCATGTCTCTAGATCATCTAGTACAAAAATATATAACAAGAAACTACACCGTAAAGCATGTAATTAAGATAGCAAAAGGCCACACATGGCTCAAAGGAAAGACTGGACAAATAAACTACCTAAAATAACTTACGCCGAAGGAAAGTAGAATGGCGATCACTGCCGCTGAGCCTGCTCCTCAAAATACTCTTGATCCTGTAAAGAAAAACATTGTGAGTCTGGGATGCGCGAATCCTAGAGGAGTCAGAAACCTTCCAACAAGCATGCAAAATGAGAAAATTGTGCATATGTAGGTATGTGTGACATGTAAAAGGAAAGATTAACTAAGTTGAAGATTACCAAAATAAAAATACTAACTACAGATATCAAGTAAACACTACCACATATCACCCAACACTTTATATTTTATTATAGGTTATTTGAATTAGGGGATAATATTTTCATGTATATAAGTTGATTTTCGCGTAAAACATCCCGGGAACACAGCTTCAAGTCAAGTATTGGCCCTTGGCCCTTATATATATATGTATAACTCAGGATATCACGTATGCACATTAATCCACTTTTATATACTTTATATTCTCCATCCAATCCCCTTTTATTAATCCCCGTGTTGATCTGTTTATTTTAAGTGACCGTGCATGAAGTATTATGCCCTAACCATAGAGTTACTGTGGAACGATTTTCATAAAACTATGAAAGATAACCGAGGTCTAAAACATGTCTAATCAAGAGGGATCCACCGTCTAGTCGATGCTATAATAATAATAATTAATATTCAAAGAAAAACTTCACACCAGGATATTGATGTCGAGGGGGTAACCATGCTATGAATAGCACGCTTATAAATCATATCTTGACGGAAGTCGTCTTCTTGCACAGTCGGTCCTATTGGATGTCACTAAGAGATTTTTTTATCACATCATACAACATAACTCCATTGAGAAAAAATAATAAATAAATAAATAAATAAAGTAATTGTTCAATGTCAAAATAGGTTAATTCGGTCTAGCTTGAAAATAAAATGACTGAATAAAACTAATTCTGTAAGCTAAAGACTCAAACTATACCATGAATTTTAGACCCAAACGTGTCTAATTTGATGATGATGGATCCGAAATGGGTTAGGTTAGTTCACAACGGACCGTATTCAAAATTTTTTTTTGAAAAAAGAAGTGTCATAGGATTTGAAGCTAAGGCTAAAAGTGCAAAGCACAAGCCACCTAACCTATGTCACCACATTCCTTCTGAAAACTAGCATCACTAAAAACATATTTAAACTAAAATTTCTATGTATACAAAAAATCTCTAAAATTTAAATTAAGGATAGATAATCTTCTACTAAAAACTTTGAAAATTAAATTTCTACTTGTACAAAATTTATATGGCCGAAAATAATAAGAAAATAATGGTACTATGGCCATGAACAAGGTAAAGGTTTTGGTAAAAACTAATTTAGTTAGACAACTATCCCAACCCTTAATAAAAGATATTTATGAAAGTTTAGCTGCTGAATCTTTATAGGAAAATTTTTATATTTCAAATAGAAGAAATTGCTTTCTGATTGAAAGGATAATTATTATTTAGAAAAATAATATTATAAAAGTCTACATATATATGTACTTATAATATAAGACTAGGATTTCCAAAAATAATTGGTACACCTCAGGCCTACTCTTTAAAAACATTACTGAAACTAATCAATAAAATAAAAGAATAATATACTTTTAGAAGAAAATATTTAAATGTATTGAACAAAATTAAATTTCAAACTATATTATTTAAACCATACTCTGTATTTTTTGAAACATAGTAACAACTATATCTTAGGAAAAGTTTTATTTATTTATTTTCTATGCTATACATTTATAATGTTAGGGGGGGAAAAATAGGCCTTAGATCAAATATAAGTCATAGCTTGTATATTTAAACATGGAGCATAACTTACAAGAAAACTAGTATTTAGATAGGGTAATTATGGAGGATTAGAAAGGATGTAAACGCTTGCCTCAAAATAATTGCACAAAGAAGCGAAAGATGTCCTACAGTATTATCACAAACAAAAATGTGATAAAAGCTATCTACAAGCTATTTATCATGCCTCTAGAAAGAAATGCTAGTAATTGAATACGGTGATCATGAAAAAAAAATGTTGAAGGATAGAAAATGCTTACCTTTAAAATACTTTGAACTCTGGAATTTGAAATCCTTATATGTTCCCTCTTCTAACTCCGCCAAGCTTCTTTTCTGCCACTGTTTTTTCCTCTCGGGTGTTTATGTGAAGGAAGGCAGAGAAGATAGATAGTCTTTTTAAGAAGATGAGGTATTTTAACAATAGATTAGATAGCTAGAGATATTATAGTATCTAAGGGATTTGATAAGATTATTGGTTGCAAATCTGTTCTGTTGTTTTTGCACTCCGTGAGAAAATTTCACTGAAGAAAAAGATGAGAGTGCGAAGTGATTAAGATATACTTAAAGACTAGGTTTTAGGTTAAACTAGTTTACTATCCAAACCCAAAGGCTATGGGCTTTGTGACCGAGTGTTCTAACAACTAACCTAAACCAAAACATGATATGGCCTTTACTTAATAACTAGCAAAGATATAAGCCCATAATGCATAGAACAAAAACTAGTTATTACATCTTACCCACTATAAAAAGAAATTTCGTCCTCGAAATTAAATCTAATTATTTAAGTACACACGGGGCTAGATGTTACCTATAGCAAAGCGATGTGGATAGCGTTGACGAATATCGCTCTCACCCCGACATTGCATCACTAGGT